AAAAACAGTTGGTAAACTGTGGCTGACTAGAGATTTACTGGTCTATCTGAAGGGCCAACGTCATCATCGCCTTTTGGTCTGAAGCCAAGATGCAGTACTAAATAGACACCCCCTTTTGGGGAGTACGGTGTACTCCTATAGGTAGGTCCTGGTTCAGTTCTGATTGTGCTGCTTTGAAGTAATGCATGCTTATATGTCTAATTATCCTAATTGCAAGCATAAATAATGGCAGGCATAGAAAGCAGAAGCCCAGCTGAGCCTGAAGATTTGTCCCTAAATGGCAACAGCTCTGTTCCTAGGCAGCGGGGTTAGAAATGAGTATCCTTTTCTGAGTCTTTTTGTTTTGTTTTATTTGTAAACACATCTGGATCAGTCTGTTTCCTAAAAGCAAACATTTTGCACTATAGTATCTTTTTGAGGCAGGGATCAAACTCAACTCTGGCTGGGAGATGTAGCAATATCCAGAGAAGGGGAGATGAACTCCATCAGAGATCTGGTAATTCCTACTCCATCCCTCTCAGTTCTCACACATCTAGACATAATGTTTTATATTCAGTTATAATGATCCATTAAAATGTGTTTACTAGTCAGGGACTTAACACTGGGCTTATCTGATAGTTATGACTGGTGAAGATCACAGTATTGGTTATTAATGCTATAAATCTTTTGTTCCAAAATGAAGTATTTCTTAGTAAGTTTTTTGTTCTCTGAGAGTTTGTTTGTTAGTTATATACGTCCCTGGCATATCTACTTAATTTTTTTTGTTTCGTAAAGGGGCACCTACTCAACTCTGTCACACCCAGATTTTACTTACCTCGAATGCATTATTTTTATAAAGCATTATTTGTTTTCCTGACGTAGAAATAATATCATTCTCCAATAATGGATGCAACGTAAATAAAACCGGAGCTCTTAAGCTTTGTAGCCCATTCACAGAAAATGAAAGGTGCTAATTTGCTCTACAATCATTGATGCACATTCTACACACTCATTTGATATTAAATTTGGGCCATCTCGTTAACCCTCTCACAAATCCTCCAACCAGCCTTGTGTTTGGTGGTGGGATCATAGTGGGAAATAATTAATTACATTTTGGGGAGAAAAGGCTGCAAAAAATTGTTATGCAGGCTGTCACAGGGACCAAGCCTTTGGGTTGACTTAGACAAGTAAAGGGTCCTCCAGTCTGGGCAGCATGAAATAAAATATATTTAATGTTTCCAACTATGGTGGTAGGAACAAATACTGACCTGCACCACAATAGTTACCAAGAGTTTAGTCCCAAATGGCATTAGATTACTAATGGCAACTCTGGCTTTAGTTTCCACCTTCTGATTTCCCTTCTGACTGCCCCTTCTGAGATTCTTGTTTCTGTCTAGCTTCCTGGCCACAGGTGCTTACCCATTTACTGCTTCTCTGCTCCTGTGCATTCAGCAGTGCTTGGCTAATCTGATCGTTTGAAAGAGATCATAGAATCATAGAATATAAGGGTTGGAAGGGACCCCAGAAGGTCATCTAGTCCAACCCCCTGCTCGAAGCAGGACCAATTCCCAGTTAAATCATCCCAGCCAGGGCTTTGTCAAGCCTGACCTTAAAAACCTCTAAGGAAGGAGATTCTACCACCTCCCTAGGTAACGCATTCCAGTGTTTCACCACCCTCTTAGTGAAAAAGTTTTTCCTAATATCCAATCTAAACCTCCCCCACTGCAACTTGAGACCATTACTCCTCGTTCTGTCATCTGCTACCATTGAGAACAGTCTAGAGCCATCCTCTTTGGAACCCCCTTTCAGGTAGTTGAAAGCAGCTATCAAATCCCCCCTCATTCTTCTCTTCTGCAGGCTAAACAATCCCAGCTCCCTCAGCCTCTCCTCATAACTCATGTGTTCCAGACCCCTAATCATTTTTGTTGCCCTTCGCTGGACTCTCTCCAATTTATCCACATCCTTCTTGAAGTGTGGGGCCCAAAACTGGACACAGTACTCCAGATGAGGCCTCACTAATGTCGAATAGAGGGGAACGATCACGTCCCTCGATCTGCTCGCTATGCCCCTACTTATACATCCCAAAATGCCATTGGCCTTCTTGGCAACAAGGGCACACTGCTGACTCATATCCAGCTTCTCGTCCACTGTCACCCCTAGGTCCTTTTCCGCAGAACTGCTGCCTAGCCATTCGGTCCCTAGTCTGTAGCTGTGCATTGGGTTCTTCCGTCCTAAGTGCAGGACCCTGCACTTATCCTTATTGAACCTCATCAGATTTCTTTTGGCCCAATCCTCCAATTTGTCTAGGTCCTTCTGTATCCTATCCCTCCCCTCCAGCGTATCTACCACTCCTCCCAGTTTAGTATCATCCGCAAATTTGCTGAGAGTGCAATCCACACCATCCTCCAGATCATTTATGAAGATATTGAACAAAACCGGCCCCAGGACCGACCCTTGGGGCACTCCACTTGATACCGGCTGCCAACTAGACATGGAGCCATTGATAACTACCCGTTGAGCCCGACAATCTAGCCAGCTTTCTACCCACCTTGTAGTGCATTCATCCAGCCCATACTTCCTTAACTTGCTGACAAGAATACTGTGGGAGACCGTGTCAAAAGCTTTGCTAAAGTCAAGAAACAATACATCCACTGCTTTCCCTTCATCCACAGAACCAGTAATCTCATCATAGAAGGCGATTAGATTAGTCAGGCATGACCTTCCCTTGGTGAATCCATGCTGGCTGTTCCTGATCACTTTCCTCTCATGCAAGTGCTTCAGGATTGATTCTTTGAGGACCTGCTCCATGATTTTTCCAGGGACTGAAGTGAGGCTGACTGGCCTGTAGTTCCCAGGATCCTCCTTCTTCCCTTTTTTTAAAGATTGGCACTACATTAGCCTTTTTCCAGTCATCCGGGACTTCCCCGGTTCGCCACGAGTTTTCAAAGATAATGGCCAATGGCTCTGCAATCACAGCCGCCAGTTCCTTCAGCACTCTCGGATGCAACTCGTCCGGCCCCATGGACTTGTGCACGTCCAGCTTTTCTAAATAGTCCCTAACCACCTCTATCTCCACAGAGGGCTGTCCATCTCTTCCCCATTTTGTGATGCCCAGCGTAGCAGTCTGGGAGCTGACCTTGTTAGTGAAAACAGAGGCAAAAAAAGCATTGAGTACATTAGCTTTTTCCACATCCTCTGTCACTAGTTTGCCTCCCTCATTCAGTAAGGGGCCCACACATTCCTTGGCTTTCTTCTTGTTGCCAACATACCTGAAGAAACCCTTCTTGTTACTCTTGACATCTCTGGCTAGTTGCAGCTCCAGGTGCGATTTGGCCCTCCTGATAACATTCCTACATGCCCGAGCAATATTTTTATACTCTTCCCTGGTCATATGTCCAACCTTCCACTTCTTGTAAGCTTCTTTTTTATGTTTAAGATCCGCTAAGATTTCACCATTAAGCCAAGCTGGTCGCCTGCCATATTTACTATTCTTTCGACTCATTGGGATGGTTTGTCCCTGTAACCTCAACAGGGATTCCTTGAAATACAGCCAGCTCTCCTGGACTCCTTTCCCCTTCAAGTTAGTCCCCCAGGGGATCCTGGCCATCCGTTCCCTGAGGGAGTCGAAGTCTGCTTTCCTGAAGTCCAGGGTCCGTATCGTGCTGCTTACCTTTCTTCCCTGTGTCAGGATCCTGAACTCAACCAACTCATGGTCACTGCCTCCCAGATTCCCATCCACTTTTGCTTCCCCCACTAATTCTACCCGGTTTGTGAGCAGCAGGTCAAGAAAAGCGCCCCCCCTAGTTGGCTCCTCTAGCACTTGCGCCAGGAAATTGTCCCCTACGCTTTGGGACCAGTCTAAATTGCTCAGAATATCTGAGAGAGAAACCATTCCAAAACTTTAGCTTAGGGCAGGTCTACACTAGAAGCGCTATATGAGTGCAGCCGCACCAATGCTTTATGACAATGGAAGAGCCCTCTCCCCTCAGCATAATTACTCTACCTCCGTGAGAAGTGGCAGCTATGTAGGCAGGAGAGCGTAGTGCCTGTGTGGATAGCACTTAAGTCGCCGTAACTTGTGTTGCTCAGTGGGTGTCTTTTTCACACCCCTGAGCGACATAAGTTAGATCGATTTAAGCGGTAGTATAGAACTGCCCTTAGACAGCCTTAAACTTACTTGTACCCACTCTTCCATTGTGTAGGGGAGTGTAACTTGGTGTAACTTACTGTTCCTTCTTCTTCCAAAATCAGTGTCCCATCTCTGACACCAGTGTTGCTCTCCGGCTGAGTGGTGGCAAAATTCTGGGGTCTGCTGGGTCAGCTTCCCAGTGAGGAAGGCAATCAGTGACTCAGAGTCTAGGTATATTCTAAGTGTTACTTGCTTGACTTTATACAGCAGTCCTGAAACAGAGATGGTGACAAATGGTATGCTGGCAATCCAATGCCCAGTTTCCAGGTAGCAACTGTGTACCAAGAACTGAGTCTAGCAGAGCAAACCACCTTGCTGCTTCCAACAGCTTCCTCTGCACAGAACCTTAGAGCCAAATCCACAACAATAGAAGCATTATTTGCAATGCTTAAAACTAGCTAATGCTCAAAGAAAAAGAACTTGGACGATTATGAGTAACCATGACATCTGCCATAAAATTATACATGCTGGGAAGCTGGACGTGGAAAAAGAGAAGATTAAATCAGGAACTTTAATTTAGCACTTCCCACATACTTAATGTATAAATTATTCCATCTTAGATCCATGCGTCAGGGGAGGGCTGTGAGGAGTTTTACGTTCATCTCCGAATGCATCAGCTCTGAATTTGGCCCAAATCCTGGAACTAAAGAAACAACAAAATTGTGGTGCTGGATAAAAAGCAAAGCACCCCACCCCTACCCCCGCACTTAGTAATGTATTTAATACTCTAACAAGTCTGCTCGTCCTCGTGATTTGGCTCTGTGTATTTTTCTATTGAGGCTGGAATCATGTAATGTTTTTTTTCTCAATATGTTTCTGTTCCTTTTGATAGGCGAATTAAGCTCTTGGGACCTTCTGATTTGCTTATCTTCCGGGAAAACTGATGATACAGACTGCTTTCCAATAGATGAGTTCCATCAGTTAGAATTATTCCAGAAGGTAAAGTATTGACCTGCCATCTTTCGTTAGGAATACCCCACATTTTCAGCACCCACTAACAAAAATAGTGTTCAATTGTCAATTTATGGTCTAAAAATGTGGTTCATTAAACTGTAAAGCCGAGCTGTATTTCACTGCCCACTCAGGGATGTGTATCGTATTTGCATTCTTGTAGATATCCTATCCAGAGATCAAGAGCAATGTCTTCATGCTTTCAATTTGTGTGTAGTTTAATATGTTGATGTTCGTAGAAATTGAAAATTGTTACAGTTGGATGCCATGTTTTGCTCTTTCCTAATCTGAGCTTCTGGACTCTATGCCACACTCAAAATTCAACTGTCATGCATCACAAGAAATATAGAAGTAAAAGCAAATTGTAACAAATGTCTCTTTGAGAGAAAAAACTTTAGGAAGGCCGAAAACCAGCTCGAAAATACATTCAGCGTTTCAGAATGATTGGGGACCAGTTCAGCCAAATGTGAGCAGGAGTTGTGCCACTTATGCAAGGGCTGGGTTGGCTCTAGGAATTAAAATAAATATATATATATATATATTTATATATATATGCACTTGTCATTTTACAAATGTAGAACAAGCATCTCTCCAAACAATGACCTTGGTCCTGCAACTGACAGCTTGCAGATGGACTGCTGCGCCCGTGTGGAGCCTGACCTGGAGTCCTTTCGGACCTGGATGGGCACAGCAGTCTTGCACACATTCTGTCAATTGGAAAATCAGTGCCAGTATTAGTTGTCTTTTAAGGATGTCTATAATTGGCCCTCACTTTTTCCACCTGAATTTTGCACATTACAGGCACAAGTTCGGTTACTTAGTCACTGGGGTACCTGATTAAATATCTGACTTGCAGGTGCAAACATCTAAGTGACTTAAATTGCACAGTTATTTACACCTGCAAAATTGTGGGAACAAAAATGCAGGCCTAATTTTAGACTCTCAATTTCAAAAATTTGGCACAAACAATAATTGCAGGCACAAAATTGCATTCTCAAAAATGGGGGTGCACAGCAATGAAAGGGTCTTCTGGAGGGGTGGATTTCTTCCACAAAGCTTATTAGTGAGGACGAAATCAAGACTGGATGTTTTTTCTAAAATGTGTGCTTTATTAATTATTTTGGGGTGCTTCTAGGGCCTGTGTTATATAGGAGGTCTGACTAGATGATCACATTGGTTCCCTTCTAGCCTTGGAATCTATAAGTATCCTCACTGATTCAAGAACAGTTCTTCATATGTTATACCAGTACATATGTCATTTGTATTGACTATCTGATTGGGATCTTAATCCTGCAAAACTTATGCACATGTGTAACTTTACACCTAGGAGTAGGCCTACTCTTAGGACCAAGGGCCAGATTTTAAAAAGTATTTATATGCCTAGAGATGCAGATAAGTGCCTAATGCAATTTTCAAAAACACCAAGTTGCCTAACTCCCAGCAATTGTAGGATTTTTCCATGGGAGTTAAGCATCTAGATACTTTTAAAAATCCCATGAGGCACCCATCTGGTTCCTTAGGTGCCTAAATACCTTTAAAAATCTGGGCTGAAGCCCTTTGATTGTAAATTCCTTGAAGTGGGGACGGTATCTTTCTTTACAGCTATACAGCACAGAGAACCAGTTTGGCACTCAGTATTTGTTTATTTAGATTTACAATAAATATGCGCAGAAAGCACCTAAATTTGCCAAATATTAAACATATGATCAAATCAAAAAATAAAGTAAAAAAATAACGACAATGGGAGGCAAAAAATAACAACAGTGGGGCAGGAAAAGGTGCTCAGAATGAATCTCATGTGGGGGTTGAGAGAAGCACCAGCCACCTCTTCGTGGTAGGTTTTGCCCTGCTCTTGCCTAATGGGGTTTCAGCAACCCTACCAGGTGCCTCCCTGGCAGTTGAAGATGAGGGAAACATTTACCTGATTTATTCTGAAGATCTTGTAGGGAAAAGAGCCCCCTCCCATGGCCCAGGACAACAGAGCTAACTCAGGAATGGCTTGTATATGTAAATTCCTATTAATGACAATTGTGCACATGATTATATAAACAGTTTGGCCAAGATTTTCAAAACTGAGTGCCACAGTGAGGTTGCTAAATCAATATTTAGGGAATTAATGTACCGGCCTGGTTTTCAAAAGCACTGAGCTTCTAGTCTGCTGCTAGCACATGCTCTTGGAGTACAGTGGTTTCCAGCGTACCTAGAGAAGAAGCCAAGTGCCAGCAACAGTCACTGCCGTTAGCCCAGGACAGCATTTCTCTATCAAAATTGTATTGACACTTAATTGAACCGGAGTGGTACCCACTATCATTCATTTCAGCTATAATTGGCTTTATTGAAAGCCAATATCTTGCACGTGGTAGCAATACTGAATATTAGATATGTCAGGGCACATTATGGGCCAACCTAAAGTAATTTAGGATGGGGGGAAAAATGAGCAGTGTTACTGATTAATTATTATTCATATAAAATCACACTGGAATCCAGTACCATGAATATGGTTCTGTTCCTGTGCGAGCTGGGCTTAGCATAAGATGCCATCTGCCAACTGTTGTTTAGAGATGGAATGATTACCCCACAGAGTATGCTTTTGTATGATATTTTACTACTAATTCTTAGAGCCCTAAGCCCACATAACAGAACAGTTAGCAAACAGAGCATTGGAAATATCTCTTGGTCACTGAAGACAAACCAACCTAATGCCTTTGAAATTGTGGTACATTTGCTTTCAAAGATATTTAGGGACCTAAGAGTGGAAGGGACCTTTCTAGGTGATCGAGTTCAGTCCGCTGCTATCTCAGACAACCTCATTGTATAATCCTGTTCATAAATTTACCAAGCTACATCTTAAAACTAGTTAGGTTGCTTGCTCCCACTACTCCTGTTGGAAGAATCTCACTCCTCTGGATGGTTAGAAACCTTCTTCTAATTTCCCGCCTTATTTCTCCATTAGGTGCCTTAGTAAATACTTGACTGCTGACACAGCCTATGAATCCATCTGACCATTGTAGGTATTTATAAGTATCCCATTACCTTTGTTTTGGAGTACCTCAATATCTTTAATGTATTCATCCTCACTATGTTTAATGTGAGGTAGGGAGGTGCAATCATCCCTAATTCCCAGATGAGAAACTGAGGCACAGAGAAACTAAGTGATTGCCCTGGGTCACAAGGGACGTCTGTGGCAGAGTAGGAACTTAGCATAGGTCTTCCACATCCCAGGCTAACACCCTAAACATTGGATCATCATTCCTCTCTGTGTGCTCTTCCTGTGCTATGAATGAGGGTGATGTAGAGGAGCAAGAAGCTTTGGAGGCGGAAACTGCAGGAATGACAGAATCACTGTGTCCAGGAGGAGGAAAAAAGTCTGAAACTTTGCCTTGTGGTGGTTGTGGAGGAGGATCTCCCACCTCAGAGTTCTATTTTCCAGGTCACAGGGAGCAGCAAAGGGTCAAAATCAATGTTGACATCAATAGGAGTTTCACACATGAGGTGTCCCTGACAAATTGTACGAGAAAACATGCAGGGCTCGTGAAAGACAGTGCATCTACTGATGAACTCACTAGAACGTCTCTGTATTATTTTCAGGTGAATACACTCCCAGAGATTCAGCACCTGCTTTGCAGAAAAGAAGGATTATGCCAGATAATTAGAGCGTTCCCAGGTAATCCTCCATTTTGTTTGTTTGCATAAATGTTGAAGATAGCTGACCTGCTTAGTAGTGAGGCTGATATTATGTGTGTTGGAGTTTTCATACTTGTATATTCTTTTTTCAACAACTTTTAAAAACAAGACAGAATACGAGTGATAATCCATTTCAGACATCTCTTGAAAGTAATTTGTAGTAATAAAGGATCCTTTTAACTAAAGCTACTGCATCATTTAGCCATTGCAGACTGGAAAAGTCAGGTTTTTTTAGAATACAAAAGTCCTATTTGTCAGGCTATATTGTGTTGTTCCATGGATTGGTGTTTACCCTTCAAAGTTCTTGGTTCAATGGAATATGTTTATCCAGTTTTATAAAAATGTTTTTGCATGAAGGAGGAGTAGGAGTTGGAGCTTGGTTTCCATCCTGAATGAGTTTACTGATAAAAAAGTCTTTGTACATTAAGTTCATCAACCAGAAAAATTCAAAGGTTACGGGCCAGCTGCCAGGGAATCCTTTTTTACTATGGGTGAAATTCAGCCCAGAGCAGGAGGTCTGCACAAAGCCCTGTGCTCTATGTTAATCCCTAGTTAAACCCTATGGAGGCAAATTCTGATCTCATTTACACCAGTGAATATCCAGAGTCTCTGGCAGTATTCTGGATTTATGCCATATAACTGAGATCACACTGGCCCCGTGCTGAGTGCATAACTATGTCTTAAGTGATGCCCTGTCCCTAGTGTGGGCCCTTTGCTCTGGGATGTTCATTAGTGGGAAGTCTGATGTAATACAGATTTTGGACAAATCAGGGTAGATTTGTCAAAGTTCCAAGGATTTCAGAAATTGAATTTATTTTGTAACAGTCTGGCTTTGAAACATTTTGGTCAGCTCTGTTATGCTGTTTGGACAATGGCCAATTAAAACAGTTTTATTATTTTGTTGCCACAAAACCACAAACATAAGAGGCACTTGCCACACAGCGAGATTTCCCCTCCAAGTCATATTCTTTAATTGGTGTCCATAAATTGTTGTAATAGTGATCTCATCGCACACACGTGGTGTCTGAAACTGACTCTAGTGCTCTGCTTCTCTTGTACGTAAGGGCGATTTTTAAACATCTGATTGATCCTTTCCATCTTTATATCATTATTACTTCACAAGATAAAGGGCTTTGTCTTGAGAGGTGCTGAAGTCCCACTGAAAACACTGGGAGGTGTGGGTGCTCAACATTTCTTGGGACTCAGGCCCTTACTCACATAGACTGTGTCTACAATGCAGGTGTGACTGCAGCTCAGGTAGGCAGACCCACACTAGTTTTAGCCTCACCAGCATGGCTAAAAATAGCAGTGAAGACATGGTGGCATGAGATTCACCATGGGCTGGCAATGCAGGTACATGCCCAGGGTCCCAGGAAGGCTTGGACAGCCTGTGTTGGAGCTTGTCACCATGTCTTACCTGCTATTTTTGACCATGCTAGCGACATTAAAGCTAATGCAGCTATGCTTACCCAAGCTGCAGTTACACTTGCAGTTGCATTATAGACCGTCTCAGTGTCTGATGATGATTTTGGTACTTTATAAAGACATGGTCAAGTAGCGTAGGCCTGTAATTGCAGTTTTGTAAACAAAGGTTTTTACCAAAACAAATACAAAAATACATATCTTTAAGATTTTTTTTAAATGTCTGACTGTTTTTAATCTACACGTTCCCCTGAGAATTGAGAAACCAAACAGAATAGCATTGTCCGGCTGCATGAGAACCAGAAAGTGAAACCAACCAGTGTGGATTCACTGTCCAAGAGGAGCAATAGGCATAAAATAAACCAACAGTATAAATGGTGAAAAGAGAGGGGGTTGATCCACCAAGATTTCAGATCCCCCCCCGCTATCCCAGACAGCTAGCTCTTTCCTCCTTCCTTTCCTTGTCAGCACTTCCTAGCAGACTTTTCCTCCCTGCCCAGACAGCAGAATTGCCAATAGTCTGGATTTAGCTGATTAGGCTCCTGGATTTTGAAATTATCGCAGGGAGGGACAGTTTTGGTCAATAGCCAGGCTCTCCCCATGCAGCAGCACGTGGGAATTTTTCTTTTAAAATCAGAGTTGGCCTGCTGCTTCTGTCATCTCTGCCTGTGGGGGAACTCACCTGTTCCTGTGGGAGATGGCCAGTCAGCTTGTATTTACCATGTATTCAGCATTTAAAGGGTGTTAGCTATGTAAGAGAACAAGTAAAATGCCTGATTGCTACCCAGAAGAGCTTGCAGTGTACTAAAAGACAAGATGAGACAGGGCAAGGGGCTGAGAGGATGGGTTCACAGCTATAAGATTGTGTTTCCATTGAGAGGTTCTGACAACTTCATAATGCTTATTTCCTTTTTAAAATGATGTATTTTAGCTATAGCTGTTACCAGACCAGAGGTGTGGGTATGTAAAAGGAGGGTTGTCTGCTGTTGCTTTAAGAGTAAAATGGGCCCTGTAGCTTGCCTGTAAGGACACACTCTCTGTGAGTTAGTTCAAATGGACGTTGTTAACAGGACAAGACTCTGTAGTTCTTGTTTCTTTGTTTTTCCCCTTCACTGTAAAATAGTGTAACCAGACTGAAAACACATTTGTTCTTTGTGTATGGGAAACCATCATGGGAGGGATACTGGGGAGTTCTGTGTGGGGTGGGAGAAGAGAGGCTGTGGGGGGAGACATAGGGTGAAAGGGAAGAGGTAGGGTGATGTGGAGGAGGAGGGGGTCACAGGAATGTAGGAGGATGTGGTCATAGAGGATGGGTAGGATACAGCTAGAATGAGAGGGAAGGGTTGGGATGAAGCATGGTGAGAAAGGAGGACAGTTGCTGGATGCTGGGCAGGTAGGGCAGTGGGGGAGAGGATTATGCATAATATTGGCAGCAGATTTTAAAGTCCAGTGTGGAAGACATCGGTTAATATCAGGAGGCTTGGGCTGGGAAGGCTGGATCCTTCTGCTCCTTTAGTTGGTGGTGGCTGCTTGTAGGAGTCTCTGGGGAGGGAGCTTTTCAACCTGCTGCTCCTGCCTACCTCATGCTCCATGTGGATGTGTTGGGCTGGTGCCGCACAGTCATGCAGGCATGGCTTCTGCATGGTCTGGTGGAGGTTCAGGAGGAGGCCCTAAAACTCAGCTCCATGGTTCTGCTGTTGCTGAATCTGGTGGGCAGCCAGATTCACCTGAGATAGGTGCCTTTAAGGGCCACCTAAGAGGCTACTTCTGGCTTCAACTCTGATGATTACTGCGGAGGGGATTTAGGATTCTTGGGCCCAGTGCCCCATAGAAGCTGCCGTGTGGTCAGAACTGGGTGGGTGCCATGGAACTCCCTCTCCCTACAAAAAGCTAGACAGATAGAGAAGGAGAAGACACAGAGAGACAGAGAAACCCCATGCCCCACCCTGACAGTGCACACACAACCTTCTGTTTTAGAGTTTTCCCTGGGAAAATATTGGGATTAGCGGTCCAGTCCAGGCCTCTGCAAACACGCTTTACATTCTTTCCCCAGGGTCCAGCCTGTGCTGTTCCCATTTCTTTTCTCAGCCAAGCCAGCAATTGTGTTTAAGTGGTACCTTTGCCGCGTGCAGGCTTGCTTGCCTCCCTGATTATGGTGCTGTGTGCTGGGCCCCTTTTGGAGTGGCTGCAAGATACAGTACACTTGCTTCCTCTCCCTTGGGGAGCTGGCAGCGTGCTCAGGGTATTCATTCACTCATGTGCAATGTTCTCTGAACACCAGCTAGCGGCCACAGCCTGTCGGCCTTCCCCTGGCCCTTTGTTGACTCAGTGGCCAAAATGTGACAGTGACATGACCAAGGGGTGGAGTGCAGCACACTGAAATCATGAAGCCCTCCACTATTCTCTGATGCTACCTTCTCCTCCAATTCCATCGCCGTAGCAGGCAGGTGGCTAGCAAAAATCAATTTAATTAATTAATTAAAGCTGTTGCTTTTCCCTCCTTTCCCTTTGCCTTTGCATGTTGCCACCTGACGTGAGTGGCTGCGGTTGGGGGGCAAGGCGGCATTCCTCACCTTCTCCTGTTATCCCTTGGGCCACAATTGTGGTTTTGTAGCAGCAGGTGGTTGGCTAGCAGCAATTGTCTGAGAGGCATGCTGCTTATTGCTGCTCTGCTCTGACTCACTACCAGCTGCTCTGACTGTATGTGCGTTCGGTCCCTTCTAATTACTGGGCCTGGAGCCAAAGTTCTGCCACAAATCCACCCTTGGGAGCTTTAAATTATAAATTAAACATTCTTTCCATTTTAATAATCTAAAATGCTAGTGACAGGAGTGTATATTTTCAAAAATAGATTTGCTTTTGTTTGCCAATGTGCCTTTAAAAATGTCTCCATACAAGTAGGCATCACAATGTTGTGGCTGTGGGCTGTGTGCTATGACGCTCTTTTGAAACTCAGGAATGCTAAACCTGATCTATTTATATATCTATTTTTATCTTATTTAGATTATAAACTCTCTGGGGCAGGGATTCTCTGTTACTATGTATCTGTACAGAGCCTAGCACTGATCTCAGTTTGGGCATTGAGGCAAATCTGTAGTAATAATAAATAAATGTGATGTGTTTTGAAAGAAAAAGTTTAAAAGAGAAACGAGTTTAACTACTTGGTCTTTGCTCATGTACCACACTGTCATCTACTGGATTATTAGGATATCATTATGCATGTGGATTTTCACGTTGTGCCAACTTTTTCATTATAAGTCATTTTTTCCAGAGTTTAATAACTGGTCTGTAAACGTTGGTTTTGGTATGAAGCATGGTTCACATAATCTAACCTCAGAGGAAGTTGTTTTGGAAAATATCAAGCTAATCAATCTCTCTTTTTTTCATTGTAGTTATAAGTGTGTTACAGGAAAAAGAAGGAGACATTTGAATGTAAAGACTCATTTTTCTGCATGTGTCACTCAAAACAGAATTTTAAAACAACAGATATGGCAGGTTATTAGTCCCTAAGGTGAAGTAATTTGCTGATGATTTTTAGTTGTAGTTTTGAAATAATGA